TTTAGTTCCAATTTTCATTTGAAATCTTACGGTCGAATTAATAATTATTATAAAACGATATATGTATACTACACTCGATAGTCGCTGAAACGTGCACGATATTAGAATAATAACGTGGGTGCCTACAAATTATTAAATGTTATAACTTATAAGATAACATGATAAATAGATATATATGTAGTAACCGTCTTCAACGAATGAAGACCTATAGTCGTGAACCACGACATAGTATAATTCGTATATACAAACTAAGTTTAAGTGAACAACAATAATTTATAACCATGATCGCGTTTTATAGAAAGTTAACAAAAGTGCATGTTTTCCTCGCACTTTTAATTGCACATTTGTATTATTTCAAGGTCACACCGTCTCTTAAAATAGTATATATACATACAAATTGAACGAAATTCATAGAACATCTGAGTATTAGAGTAATAGTAAACTCAAATAGCAATAGAATAAAAGTCTTCAAGTAAACGTAAAAGTTGAGGTTATAAGCATAATACAACTTATTTCACTCTATATTGATTTGCAGGTAAAATGATATAAATAATATAATATATATTATATAAAAACAAGTCATATTTTTAATTCTAGGAACATACGCCATAATAGGCACATATAAATATTTAGTATTTTATTCATTGATGTGCCTATTACACATCAAAATTTAGTATTTTATTCTCGTAGTTTATTTTCCAATTAAAATTCAATATACAATACTGTATACACTAATGTAATATTTGAATTCAACCTATAGATTTCGATGGTCATGGTCACTATATGACACACATAGCGGTCAAGTGCATACATTCAAAAAGATGAAATCAAGTGGATAACTTTTTTTATTTAATTAATTTAAAGAAGGAGATATTAGATAACAATTTAATTAAATATCTAAAGCATACAATYGTGAAAAACATAATGTTTTACAAACAGCYACTTCAGTCTTCGATATTATATTAAAGGGTTTACTTGGGTAAACTATAATAACCTTGGCATTATTTTAAGTGCATTACACCGTAATAAATTATTATTAATGAATATGGCACTTTAAACTCAATACATCATAAGCACTACTATTTTGTTTTTAAATCATAAAAAATACTACATTTTCTACACAAAATTAATTTTTTTGKTATTTGTTTATATTCATTATGTATAATATTTTTAATCAGGTACTTTTTAAGTTTTCAATTATTATCGTTAGCCGACATTACCATAATATTTCATAGATGAAAAACATAAATAATACAACGATTGAGGAAACTACATATTTTTTAAATTAATAGAATTGAATTAATTATAATTTATAACATAAACATTGGACAAGTTTCTTTTAATTAACTATTTGTTTATGGTTTACTTAATATTGTTCTATCTATATAGGTACTTATAAACATTAATGTGTGTATGTATCATGTATGAGACTTATAGACTAGGAAACTACTGAACCAATTGGCACTAAATTGTGTACAATATTGGGGGTATATTAATACCTTAATTTTTTTAACCCTTTTAGGTAGCTAAAAGATGGTTCAATCATTTATTTCATTTTGGCTTATGAGGATCGAATATTATTTTGTTTATATAATAAAAGGTTGTCATTATATTTAACGATTTTTTTTTTAAATAGTGTAGACTAGCATTATGAGAATTTTAGTGATGTAAAGAAAGTTTAGGAAGTATTTGAAACAAACTATTTTTAGTATTTCAAAACTGAACTAAGTATTATTATACCCACACCAACACAAACGGATTGTCATCTCGGTCAAATTAGTTCACAAAACGAAGTATACCTATACAGTATACACCTGCAATAACAATTTTTCAGTGAATTGATGTAGGTAGGTACACTAAAACCGATATAGGTATCATAGTATTTTACATCTGTTCACTTTTCCCCGACTGATAAATAGGTAATAATTAAAATAAAAAGGAGAAAAAAAATCTATTATTTTTATAATTTATATACACGAATGATTTTGAACTTATTGATACAAAAGAATACAAATAGCTGTAATATTTAACATTTTATTTTTCTTCAATATGTTCGTACCCCCGTCTTACGAGTATTGTTTGATTCTAAACATCGAGTTCAAATAATTTGTATAATAATTATCAGTATAATACCAATTACAAAAGTATTCAAAATAACAACATTAGTTAATGTATTAATCCGATTAGCATAAATAATTAACCTAATGGCAAATACCTAAAATAACTCGTAGGTATATAAGAACATTTAAACGTCAACAATATCGCAAGTTATATTAATGAWWAAATATAAAGTGAAGTGCGTTTTATATAAATTGTGTTATGCCTCTCCTTGAATATTTAACTCGAGTAACACTTGAAAAAATATATTTTGAAGAAGATTTGCAAAATATTATAAGGTTTGTTTTCACATGCATTGTTCTAAGACAGTACACTTTCACCTTGGAAATAATATCATGTTACGATAAAAGTATATACAATATATACTATATGTAATATATGTTGTTTTATGAGTTTAAAATCATAGACGCATGTGAATTATAGTAATTAATAAAATTAATATGCGTTTTACGCATTATGCTATGTACACTTTTAGAGTAAATCACAGAGAAGATAGAACCAAAAACAGAACATTTTACTTATAGTAACAAAACGTGCTGATAATATAATTGTAATAAAATGGAGTTGGTTACATAATATAATCGCCTATATAGTATGCTGCATATACAGTAGCAGTTTTCCTTTTATAATACCTTTTCCGATGGTACATATTAGTTTAGAATATGATCGATGAGTTATACTAAACATTTATAACCGTAACTTTACACTTGACACTCGTATAAACTTTGCACAATAATTGAAAGAAAGCAAAATAAGGATCAATGTGGTGTTCTGTATACAGACAAAACACGCCGAAAAGTTATGAATTTTGATAAATACGGTTATGCATTTTATTTCCAACTCCGCCATAAGAACATATATAAGTGTCTATTGCCTAAATGTAAATGATTCGATGCAGGAAACTGTTGACTAATAGGTAAAAAAAAATATGCAAAATACGAGGATTTTCGAGGTGACATTATCGTGCGACGTTGTGTGCACAGTTTCTGGTGCACAGCACTATACAGTCTGTCAACCAGACAGTTCAGAAATACATTCTGGCCAGCTGCCAAATTTTGGACAGTCCAAAGCGAAACGGTCATTCGACCTGAAGAATTTTCTTCTTTACGCGCCCACCCCGCGCCGCCGGATCTCCCGACAATGTACCACACTACGGCTGTAAGGTTATTGCCATCGTGATAAACTGCCAGATCGGATTTTAAAACGTGCAGAAATCTTTTGATTCATACGCTGGCCATGTTACACACCCTGATGACAATCAAATCCCAGGACTTACTGATGCAGTATAATAATATTATAAACCCTTAACTGACGTCTCACACATATAGGTACTGATATACTACGTTAATATGATGGTGTTAAAACGGTTTAAAAAATGTAAACTATTTTAAAAGTTAAAACACTCGCATAATATAGTTTAAGAATTTTAAACCGTTTTAACGCCATCATATAAACATAGCAATAGTGATATTATATTTGAGGTTGGGTGCGATGTAAATGAGTATATATTATACGATAACCTGCACATTAGTTCTTAATCTGAGGATTTTTCCATATCGCCCAAAGGATAGGGTGTTGATCTGGGTTCTGGGACTAGGTCTGCGTATATTATGCAAAGCAGCGAGGAAAGAGTGATTTTTAAGACCAACAACTATACTATATGACGTAATGTTTATTTGTTATACGATATTCTATGTGCTAAGAGATCAAATTATGAGCATGTGTATACCTATTATTATATAGGTAATAAATATTGAAATGTAAATGATTATTTTACTAACATAACCATCAAGTTAACTGTTTACTTCCCATATCCGAGAATTCAACTGCACTTTTGATATTTTCTTAACTGCCCGATTCGAGTTCTGGCGCCAGTTAGAAAAAGTCTGGACGTCTGGTACTTTCAACGCACGTAACGAGGAAATTAAATTATGATAATCGACTTAAGGTGCACGAATTAAATAGGGGAAAATCAATAGCCTTAAACCCACATGTTTTATCTAATTCGATTAAATGTGCGTTGTCTATACTTAATTACAATAATAATATATGCATAAACCGTATTGGTACCGTTCCAGCAGGATTGTAACCTAATAAATAGTGTAGGCAAAGAATTATAATTTAAAAATAATTTCACGATGACTTTTTTGTTGCATTTTTACGTTTTAATGCCAACATACCTGAGCGGTGAACTTGCGTGCCGTGCATAATGCATTTTTAAAAATCGAGATGCGACTGAAAGAGTAACACCAACCGTATAGGCACTACTTCGATTTTCGACAAGGTAGGGCACTGGAAAAATTAAAACAAAACAGACCCGCGACCCCTTTTGCCCCACGCCCCCGACCGACACTCGGATGATACGCGTACAACGTTATCGGAGGGGTTGTTTTCAGTTAGTATTTAATGAGCTTCAACCCCCTCCCCCTCAAAACCCAMAAAAAAATCACGAATTTAAAAAAAAAATCCAAAACTACCATACTCCATACTCGGGAAACGGCTTTTTCAAAAAAAAAAACGGGACCGAACCTACGAATAAAATAACAGTGACGAATCTAGTCGGTGCTATCGCAAAAAAATTATTACAATGCGTTTAAAAAACGACGAAATCGATTCGGCTGAATGCGCTGACAAAATTGGAATATTATTGTTACGGCGATGCAGTTATTAATCATTATAACGCAATAACATAATAATATACGAATGATAAATCGTTTGTTTTATATTGTTTTCGGTAACTATACACTCACAATGTCTTGTACACGAATAACAACACCTAACGTTAATAATACAACGAATGCCCAAGACACGGCGACGAAATAAAAAACAAAACACCTTAAACGTAGATTGTCTCAAACAAGTAAACAATTGAATCGTCTTACCTTTTCTTTGGCCCTTCCGGCGTGCTTAGACACGGATTTGGCGATAAGGGATCCCTTGCTCTCGGCCATGACGTTCTGACTCGGGTCACCAATGCACAACAACTGATTCATGTCGTATTGTTGTGATCGCCGTCGTCGTCGCCGCCGCCGMGTTATCACCGCCGCCCGACCACCAGGGCCAGCTGCAGCTGCAGCAGCTGCTACTAACTGCTACTGCCGCCGAGCGTCGTCCGGTCTGAACGTAGGAACGCGTTTACCGCGTGAAGGTAACGACAAACTGCTAAAACTGGGACGGTTTCCGTTTGAATGTTTCGCGCGTTACACGCGTACAGAGGAATTCGTACTTTTACGATTCTGTGCAGTAATATTGTCGGTTGAGCGTTGTACGATTTGTCGCGTACGATCAGATAGAATTATATAGCGTGATATGCTGTCTCGGCGGATGTCATAAATCTCCGTGACCGACGAAATCGCGAAACCCCGTGTACGGCGCACAACTCATCCAACAGACGCTGACCGAATAGCGTATCGGCTCGGCGCGCAGAGCGAAGGTCCGCACTCCGCGTTTCTTCGCCGCCCGCGATTGGTGCCCCCCGTGCAGTGCGCGTCCCCCCCGGAAAGACGACGGGAACGTCACGGAAAACGGAACCGTAAAAAATAACAATGACGGAAAAAATATGACCGAATCGCTGGAAGGGAAATGCATTGTGCTGCAGCGCCGGACACGCGGCTGTCGCCACCTTCATATTACAATATTACATACCTTTAAGGCTTTAATACATAATATTGTAACAATAATAAAAAATTACTAAAAATTATAATAATAGGTAGGTAGATATAATAATAGAGACGTGTAATAGTACGTCATACACTCTTCATATACATTTATATATTATTTTAATCGACGACTGACACCCAAACAAGCCATAACGAGACGTATGTGGGCCCAACGGCTTTTATTTAGGTAGTATCAGTGGCGCCCAGACAGGTTAGCAAGGAATGCAACTGCATGTGTTCTCGAAGGGGGTGGGTGTGTACTACTGCAGGTTTCACAGGGAAATTAAAAAATTTATATAACAAACTATAGTCTATCCTAATTGATTTCTTTGAATTACAGTGAATAACAAGTGAAAATATTTGTTATAAATAAAAAATTGGGTGGGGGGTGGCTAACTGTTTTTAACTGCATGTGCTCTTAAAATACCTCTGTGCGCCACTGGGTAGTATCGTTGATTTTTTATGCATAAAACAATAAAATTATAATAAAAATAAATGGAAATAAATACTTTATATCATATATAATATTATATGTGTAGTTGATATCTTTAGATATGTGCACATCAAATWTTTATATAAGTATAATAGTATGATGTATGAACTAGAATTTATTGACCAAACAATCTACAAAAGAAAAAGAGCTCGACGATCACGGATCACACGTCACGTCGTCACCTCGCCACCACTCAACGATGCTTGTGGTTGTCGGTTGATATAATCAATTTTAATGAATTGGCAGTTTTTACGTTTTCATATTGTTACATAAAAACTGGTGTTATTTACACCTTCACGTTTTTAAATAAATTTTTTTAGTTTACTGGTTAGTTTTGAAAAATACCTACTRGAAGTTTCATGCTACCTATTCTGACCACCTAATAAGTACTAATTATAATATTATATAGTAGGTACTATATCTATAGAGTATATTATTATATCCAATTTTCTACAAGTAGATCACATCTTCCTTTAAGTTGAAGAATTTAATTTCAATTTTTTGCTTTTACTGATCCAATAGGGGATAAGTCACAAAGACACACTTTAAAACATTAATAGGATAATAGGGTGTACAATTCAAAACTTAATTGTACCATTGTTTTAAGTCAATACAATCWCAGCAGTCTGCTCATAATCTAAAATAAACTATCCAACTAGCGTTATATAAATTAAGAAACATTTTTGGAAATATTAATTTTTAACGACTTTAACACAGTTACGGTGCAGGTTAGGAGTGTTAGTACCTATATGCGCAACCATAACTCCTAAATCCTATTTACATAATATAACCGTTATTGTCTATACTGCTATATTATATTATTAGTATAATTAACGCAGTATGTTTTTTCATTCTTATTCACAGGCAAATTGTTTCGCAATAAGATTTTATTTTTTTAATTAAAATAATAATATATTAAATTATGATTATACTTTTATAAAAATGTTCCTATATTATATAATATGAACAACTGTCAACAATTGATCTACCAATCGTATTTTCACTGTGTCCAACTGGCAACTACTTATAATTTATCTATGGGTTCAATAATAAGAATAATTTTTTGATTCCTATACACTTCCCAGATACCGTTTTTTTTAACAATTGCAACTTAACAAAGTTAAAAATTTTTAATATCAAATAAGTATAAAATGAACTAATAACAAATACAAAATAATAAAAACGATAAAGATTATATAAAATATTAGGTATACATTATTTCTTATTTGTTTTAATTTTTAGTCATAAATCTGTTATTAATATCAATTAAACATAATATTTATTTTACAGGTCGATAACTGCATAGTCTGTGAGTAAACAATATAAATTTATGCTATTGTTTGGAGTCTTTGTGATTAATATACCATAGGGTAATTACTACATCTGCAGGTACCTACATCATATTTAAGTTACAATTATTGGTTATTGAATCTACAATGTAAATATTACATTGTATATTGTACTAAATAATAATATAATGCGTAATTTATAACCGTATGAAACCTACCCTAAAAATAAATTATCATTAAAAATTCAATATTTAAAACACTAGTTATTATAACTTATATGTTATATAATCTTTTATCTATGATGGTTACACTTACGCCTACCCGATGTTTTATAGAAAAATCGAATTGATTTTTAAATGATAAAACAATGTATAAGATCAATTGTCTGCATGGAGCCCATTGTATAAATTGAACGACAAAATTCGCAATATTATAACGAAGATAAACTCAGTTTTTTTTTAAACCTATTTTCTTACTCCGATTTTGAAAACAAAAATGTCGAATGCTGAGTAGAATTTCTGTGATTCCATCGTAGTAGGTAATAGGTAATAATAATAATAATAATAATAACCTACTACCTACTTCATACAATTATATTTTCATCAGAGTACATTTTATACTGTTTTTACATTTTACTTTTTATTACTCTATATTGTGACCATATAATATACCTAATTATATATTGCCAATAGTGCTGTTACGTTGATTGCCGATCAATAATTTTTATAATCAAATTAATAAGAACTAAACAGTAAACAGTATTATTATTTATTATGCAGCGATAACGCATATTTAATATAGTTAGGTTGAATGGCGCTGATCACTTATAATTTATCTACAATAAATGTCGCTATTATTTTAAAATCTTAAATTAATTCATCGATCTGTTTAGAATCATAAATGTATTTAAATATCTTTTCAGCTAAAACTTAAAATAAATGAATAAGCATATTATATTATGCGAGTGCTTTGATTTGCATATAATTGTTAAATTTWAAAAAAAKGAAAATGCTGGGCCYTCTGTTGATGTCTCTTATAGCTGTCTAGGGGTCACTGGAGTTGTGAATATTATATATAGGTACCTACTATTATGTCTAATGTAGTAATGTTTATATAATAGGTAAGTATATGGACAGTGTGTAAAAAATGAATTCGTGWACAATAGATGATGTTGGAAACATTTATGTATTTAATTTAAATATTTACCTACTATCATTTAAAAACCGGGAATTAGCTTGCTGATATAGGTGTCGTTATTGATGTGTTAAATTTTAATTCAATGATTTGTCTTTACGAAAAACGATTTTGAATAGTTAGTGTCGTTAGTAAATAACTTTATGACGACATTTTGAATATACCTACTTATACAAAATACAATTTATACCATTCATTACGTATTACCTATACTATTGGTAATTTATTTATCCACTAGTAGAATGGCGGTACGTGGGTTGAATTAGCTTTTGAAAAAACACTATAAACGCCTACAAACTAATATAATCACATGAGTGTGAAGTGTAACTGCCTATGAATTATATTTTTAATTTTTAAACAGGCAAGTAGGTACAAATTGAATTCAATTTCTCATAAAAAAGTATGCTGCTTGCACTTCTTTGAAAAATAAAATAAGCAAGTAATATAAAGTTACGACTGTTAGTTGTTACATTAAATCATGTATTCATTTTGTAAATCTTAGCTAGATTAAAAAATTCAAATTATTAAGTGGTTATAACTACAAAATAATTTAAATATTTTTTACGTTTGACGAATTTTATAAAAATATGAAATGAATACGCTTAGATGTATAAAAAAAAACTTGTGAATACGAATACCTACTTATGTAGGTATAGTTTTGATATTTTTAATTGATGTAAAATTAACTTAAGCGGAACTGCGGAACCTTGTATTAAATTGTCAAGTTTTTTTATTGAAAAAACAAAAATGCTACCTACACACAAATCAATAAAAGTAGAAATAAGAAAACATCATTTGTACATAAATTRCATAAAAGATCCACAATACTTTGATAATTATTAAATTATAAAAAGTATCGTATTTTAATATCAACTAAGGAATAAAATTGATTTAATCAAAAAATGCAGGTTTCCTGATTTTAATATTTTTTCCCTCTCRATTATTTTGAAAGGCGTTTGGAACTTTTACATCCCGAAAATACAAAATACCAATCTTCTGCTATCAGAAACAAAAAAACAAACCTCAAAATTAAAGATCAGACCATTTCATTTGTTTAAAAACACGTAATTAAAAAGCCTATATACATACATTCATTATCTACTCCTCTCAGAATCTAAAACCTATGTTGTAACTTAAAATTAAAGATAATAKAATTTTTTTTTAAATACAACGGTATGTAGGTGTTACATTTAAATGTATTATTGTATTAATGTTTATGAGTTTATGGCATTTATAAATAATAAAACGTATTAAACAATAAAAACTTAATACCAATACATTTAACTCTGAAGTATGCAARTAGAGTTTAAGCCACTTGTATGTTGCATCATTTTAAAACTTCATTCTTCCTAGTATAAAAAATTCGCTGTAGYTTRTGTTGGGAAATCAAACMTAGTTTCAAAAAAAAACCAACAGCAGAATTATATTACGACTATGTTTTAAATAGATATTATAATTTATGAATATGAATCTGGTTTTAGTATATTATGATCTAAGGTTTCATCGGAATAATATCATTAGAAAGAGGCGGAGCTCTCTTTGAGTAGATCATAGAAAAGAAAATTAGATATAATGAAATAATAGGTAAAAGAAAGGTTTATTTATTTATTTTTTGATAATTTATTCTCACATACTTTCTTTTAGATGTATGTGTTAATCTAATTCCACAATATAAATTTTATAAAATTTACAGTTTTGTTTTAATTTKATCAGTGAATAATTATGTAACCAGGTAAAAAAAAAGAAAGGGTATTGCTGTATTAGTTGTTGGATAACAAATATTGGCATGGCCTTATTTTGGCATTTTTTTTTTATACTTTTTAAATAAATTATTATAGGTACATGAAAAATCCAGTTAATAATTAAATGATTTAAATAAAACAAAATACGCAAAACTTAAAATAATTTAAGATCAATAGTATTTACAAACAGTGTATTGATCATTGATGGCCTGACTCCTGAACAGTTCTCTTTTAGGATCAAAGTCGWATTCTTTAAACAAAAAGTTTTTATTTTTTACAAAATAAGTATCACGTTGTATATATATCATTATTCATTATGCTGTTGAATACAAAAAATGTATTTACTAAACTGTACCACCAGGAATGACAAAAATGTCAAGAGTTTACTGATAATAAATGACCAAGTTCATCAAGTTAGTTCAATTGATTTGTGTTCCACTTTGTCTGAATTATCCAATTTATGTAATAAACAGATTAAATCATCGACCCATTTGGGTTGAGCTTTAATGTCGGGGTTTACACAAACTATTTGATTTYGATTGCAAACTTCATTATTTCTAACTGTACTATTTTCTACAGATGAACTTTGAGAACAGTAGGAATTTGAATTATAAACTCTGGGTACAGCTTTGGTACACTTTGAAGTCAAATGATCTAATAAACTTTCAAACTCCGATGTTTTAGCACATTCAGTAAATTTTAGTCTTTTAGAGCATGGTTGTGGACTTTTCAGACGTTTTAATCCTCTGGCAAGTGTTACTGAACCTAATTCACCATCTTTTTCAATAGTATCATTGTCGATGTAATTTTCATTTTCATTGTATTGTTGAGATGTGTTCAAGAAGCTTTGTACAAGACGATCAGGAATTGGAGTATTTATTTCATTTTTTGTGTATTCCAAAGCAAGTATACCAGCTTCTAAAAATAAAAATATATTCTTTATAGTTATCGCTATTTTTATTCGTAGCACAAAGTTAAATAGTTTACCAGTCAACTGAATAACTTTTCCGCTGTTTAAAATAGATGACACAAAAGAAGTTTCGTCAACTGGCTCGATAGATTTTTCCAATAATTTTAAAACAGAATTATCACCATCTAAAATACAAAGACAGCTATAAATAATGCAATGGGAAAAAAAATACTTTTTATTTAAACTTACGTTTCAATTTTGAAATGTCTAAATAAAATGATTCATCAGAATTATTAGATGCCAAATTAGGATCAAGTATTGTTTCACAATTGACACTTTGTTGATCGACAGTTTTACTAAATATTTTTGAATCGTCATCTATTAAAAAATTACCATTTAACATCTATTAAATACATTTCTATGCTTATTAGTCATAAGTAATTTATTTTCTAAAGTAATTATAGAAATTTTGTTTTTAGAATTCCTAAATTCTAATAGAACGGTCCCACCAACCACCAGTGTGTTTTTCCAAAAACATTATAGATTTATATTATTMATTTAATTATAATAGATACTGTTATTTAGAATTGCCACCTTTACGGGTTTCACCACGATAGTCGATTATACAGGCTTATAATTAAATCTTCAGGCTATGGTTTCAATGACCTATTCTCCGAGTTATCGAAAAATTGTAGTTGGGTACCTTTTTTTATTTTTTTTTCAGTTTAAACTGACGACACCGCGACATCTGCTTTTACATTCCCCCACGRCCGCAAATAGTTAGATACATATATGAAATATAATATAGTYTGTTATTAAGCATCAATAACAATGATTTTCATACGTCAAAAGGTAAGATAAAAAAAATTTATTGATTTGTTGCCATACATTCAATGTATGCTACTATATACGAAAAACATTATTTTAATTTCATAAATTAAGATTTTAATTAGACGTATAGGCACAGTATCTTTTACCAATGATCTTTTTTTTTGCACTTAGTCTCTGGGTCTACTATGTTTCAAAGGTGGCAACCCTAGGTACTGTAGCATATATAATTTTTTTCACTTCATTGTAAAACCAATATATTTATTGCTCTATTCAGAATATCGGTAGGATAAATTAAATAATATAAAATAGTTATAATAAGACTCCTCCATTTAAAATAAATGGATAAAAGCAATACACTATTATAATTTACTATAATGAGTGAATCATAACAAGGCATATACATTCTTTGGCCTTGTATTTTATGTTTAAATATAAAAAACTAATAACTTATATTAGTTATGACTTATGAGTTTATGAAAATCAATGTCATAATAGTAAGTAGTAGGTTTATATTTACAGCATTAGTACCAACAACTTACTGGTTATCTTAAATTGTGGTGAATTCGATGATTTTGAGCTAATATCAATTTTTCTTTCAATACCATTATTAATCTGTCGAGCTGWGTGCAAACATTGATCCTTATTTTTATTTTTGATAAACTGGAAAATAGAGTTTTAAGTAAAAATAATATTAAAAAAGTTCAATGTTTTATAATAGAAGAGTTTTTATTATGACAAAAGTTGTTAGTAAATTTATATTTATATTTTAAAGAGTAGATAGGTAACAAACAATAATTTAAAAAAATTACATTGTCTAATAAATGAAAAATATCCAAACATGTTGTTTTGGCAAGTTGTAAAGGAGTTTTACCAAATTTGTTTACTAGAGTGAAATCAGCTCCCACATCCAATAATTTCTTAACACCTTTGATACATTTGCTTGTAACACACCAGTGTAATGGACTATTGTTAAAAATCTGAAATATTAAATATTAAATATTACACATTGAATATTTAAAAAAATGTTTTCAACTACAAATACTAGATAAATTTAATATTGACTTCATTAAATTATAATACTAGACACTAGACACTGTATAAATGTAAAAWTTTTTATAGATTTAGTACTTAAAATATTTAAATATATTTATTTTACTTTAATTTGGAATAATTGGTATTTTAATATTCTACTTGAAAATTAACTTTCAGATAAGTGTAAGAAATATAAAAATAAGCAATCATCATAGCTCATAGCTAAGGTTAAAAATCATAAAGATTATCATGTATCACAGATTACATGAAAATCATAGGTAAACTGTGTTATTATTAATTTGAAAATATTTGACCCAATAGATAGTTCATATCAAAATAATTAAAAATTGGTATTTATTGCTWGTACAACTTTAAATTTTTAAAAATATTAAAAATATATTTTTTCAAGACAATAATTAAAAAAAATTCACCTTATCTGTAGAATTTATGTCACAGTGAAAATTGTTTAGTAAAACTTCAATGCACTCAAATGCACCTTGAGCGGCAGCAATATTTAAAGCTGTACGTCCAATTTTATTTCGAAAGTTGCTTTTATAAGTTTTGACAGTCTTTATTAAATATTCCAATACTTTTGGTTGATTGTTCATGGAAGCTATGTGCAAAGCATTGTTTCCATACTAAATGTAAAATGGAATAAATGTTTTAATAGTTTAAATCTGAGTTCTAGATATGAAATACGCTATTAACCTTGTCTAGGCAGAAGGGTGATACRTTGTGGAACAAGTTAATTTTGATTGCATTCAAATCACCAACTATGCATGAATGGAAAAATATCTCTTTGGCTGACGATTTATCCATAGTTATTATGTAGAAGAATTTTTACTAAAATTTTCCAAACTTAAAAAAATTATAAATTATAATAATTAAACTATTTTATAAATGGTCGAATAAGTATATAGTATGGCTGTAATTGAACAAAGCGCTTAATTAGACCAAAAGTCAGAATATAGTTTGTTAAAATACCCTTGTATAAATGTATAAAATAGGTATTTTTAAATGTTGACAATATTATTTTAGCACTGATCATATTTTTAAATAAATCAAGTTTTTTAGTCSAGGTTTTAAATCATAACTATGGAAACATTGATCTTTAAAATTTCGGTTATGCGATCAAAATATGTACCATGATCAAATCGAAGATTTTACTGAACTAGTTTAACTTATGAAAAGACAATYGTGTTGTAATGTGAGTTAAGAACTTTWAATTCAATAAAATAATAAAATATCTTTAGTCATAGTGTAGCTATACAAAGAATAATTATTCCTTAATTCTTATATTATGCCTATAAGTATATGTATACAAATCAGATATAGGTACTATTATTTTTTTTATTATTATTAAATATATTAAGTAATAATAAACATAGGTACTTAATCTTAATTAACTCAATTTGTTAATTCATGGGAAGGACTTAAATGTTGTTTTAAAATATTATAATAATTAATCAATGAAGCGTCTTAATAGTGTAGCTTGCTGCTTTAATACAAGCTAACTTTTGCCAAATTTTCTGTCTAAAAAGCAAATAGGTACTTTATTTCATTTATCCAACAAGTAACAATCAATATTTAGCAAGGAAACAATAGATCATAGACAAAAACAATTCTTACTTTGGAAGTTATGCATATTTTGCACTGTCTTAACTATCAACTTTGACCTTTTCACATTAATATAAATATTTAATAGTGTACCACAGCTTTTGAGTTTGGATGGACTGATAACATAAAACTTATAAGCATTATCATTATGTGTTTTCATATCACGATTATAGACACGGCCACAGCTAAAGATACTAACATTATCTATCAATGATAAGTACACACTATCACCACAAAATTACTTACTATAGTATGCGACTGTGCAATGCGCCAGTAGCTTGACTGCAAAGTTCGAAAGTGTCTCACATAAATTTAATCTTTATGTTTTATTGTAATTTTTAATTTATGTGTAGACATTTAATACAACAATTTTAATATAAATAATTAAAAACTAGTACAAATATGAGTAAACTAAACAAATTCATAAGGTAAGTCTTGTAAATGATGAGTTTTAAATAACAACTTACTAATAGGCCATCAAATGACCTCAACAAATATTTTTAAATTGTGCTAGATAGCCTTGACATTGATTTGCAAAATTCTACATCTCATACTTCATTTAATTTATTTAGTTATACTATAAGAGGAGCATTATTCGGAGCAACAATATTTGGTTCATCAGAATTAGGTATATGGAAAGATGGTGAAACATCGCGTGAAGTAGCAAAAATCATCATTGCAATTTTAACTCCTATTGCAAAAAAAGCAGAATCTGAAATGCCAGAACAAGTAAGTTAATTTGAACCATATAAAATTTTTTTAAAAACAAACTTATTTGTGAAATTTGTTTTTCAAGGTAAAACAATTGCCATCTGTAGAAAATTTAAAATCCACATCTACGGCGTGTTGGAACAAAGGTGTATACAACGCTGGAGAGTTTGTTATTGATGTACCTAACAAATGTGTCTGTGCAGCAAATAAAGCATATCAATTGGTTGAGGTACAAGTAAATAAATCTAAAGAAAATTAACAATGATCTATTATTTTATTGAGTAAATAAAACTATGTATTGTGTTAATTTTCAATAGCAATTTGTGCTGTAACTATTTATGATTTGTTTTTGTAACACATGGTGAAATAGATAATTTGTTAAACTGTTTTCACGTTAACTGTGCTTAATTCATTCTATATAGAKCAATATAGGTTCAATATAATTATAATTATTATAATTACATAACAATGATTTTTAATTACCAAATATAAAATTGGCCAACATTGTAATGATGCTATTTCAATTTTTCCTTACTTTTTTTTTTCATTTTCTACAAATTGCTATTCGTAGAAGGTAGACTAGGGTATTTAAAAAAGAGAAACATTATTTAATAATAAAAAAAGAAATGTATGTACTTCATGTTTTAAACATTGAATATAACTACTTACTAAATAACTTAAAYGTTAAATGAAAACATAAATGCAATTATTGTTTTTWAAAAAAATTCACATAGAAGTATATATGCATGTATAATTGTATAAACTTAACCAATTATAAATTAAATTTTAAAACAATTGTTTTATAAATAACTAACAAAAGTTTTAAAGAAATGCAAATGAAAATCATATAAATGGTAAGTTTTAACTTTAAAACAGTAATTGAGTGAAAATAAAATTTAAAAAAATTTGATGAAATTATGGTGATAAATGAAAATCTTGTCTTTGGTTTGTATTTTTTACAATATAATATATTTTAACTCCTTTTTTCTAATATTTAGATAACAGATTAAATAACACTCAGAACTTAATTTCAATGTTTTAATATTTTTTCATGCAGAATGAATTATACAACAATGGATGAAATGCTGCGACTTAATTTTTCAATAMAATTATATAATAATAAATCTGAACATTGACAATGTTTTATACACTTTATTTAAAAACAAGTCAAGTAAATTACATGTAGTTTTGGAGGACAGTATATAAGTAGACAGAAATTCAAATTTGGTATTAAAATATGTATATAAATATAATTTGGTCAATACTGATTTGAGACTAAAGCTAATAATTTGTCATTTGTGGAAGTCAACACATTCCATTAAATTTTATAGAGAATTTCCTGAATTTATTTATTTATCTATTATTACATCTGTAATTCAATGTAATTAAATGCCAAAACATGTTTGTACATAATTTCTATATAAAAAAAAAAATGAAAGAATAATGTTTAGGCTGATGCATCCACTTCCATTTTTTCAACTCCTGCTCCTGTTTTGGATGGTTGATCGACGTCCATAGAGCAATTTTCACCAGCTGCATTATTTGCATTTTTTTGTGACTTCTTCTTCTTCTTTTTCACTAGTTGCAAGATTCCCCTTTGATTTACAGATGTCTTGAGTAAATTCTAAACAAGTTTTGTAAGTTATTAAAAATAATAAATTAACGCAAAATAACATTAAAATGTTACAATAATGGTTTTGTTATTCATCTCTGTGATAATCTTTCATAGATGAGTGACACCTTATCCAGTATTATATTGGATAAATGTTGTAATGAATAAACAGGTTAATTTTATTATGTTTTCATAAAATGCATGTAAGAAATCTTTATCATAATTTAAATTTTTTTTTTTTGATTTTTATTATAATTTATAAAATATGGACTTAATTTTTTACCAATTAAAATATTAATATACTTATAAGATTAAATTTTGGAACAAATTTGAAGAAATTTATTCTATATAACTATTCAAATAACCTAACTGTTTTTAATAACATGTTGAATTTTCAATTTTAATTCATTTATTTCATCTGACGTTATTACTTAATGCATATAATAATTAAAAATAATAATAATTGGGACTCATTTATTAATTTTTAGATACAAACATGTCTGTAATAAAAGCATACCAATATTTCTGGGTCCTTAATGGATAAATTAGGCACATAAAGATCCTCCTCAAATGGTAATCCTGTTATTCGAGCAGGTCCAGTTGCTGTTACTAACACTGTAAACTTGTATTGCACAACAATTTCACCTAAATTATTAATATTTTATCATTAAAGAAAATATTAAGTCTGTCTTATAATTGTGATCAACAAAACTATACCAGTTTTTTCAAAAAGAACTTGAAATGGTTCAATGAGTTTGTGATTTACACATTCCATTACACCCATTTTAGCTTTCTTTTCATCCTCAAAATTTCTCAAATTAAATGGCATTATACTATGTTTTTGAATAACTTCTGTGTAAAATATTCTGTAACAAAAACATTTTTTATTGAACAAAAAGTTTTTTAGTATAAAATTCAAAAATATTATTTACCTAGATGCCCTTAGCTTCAATGGGTATACTTCTTCCGTCTTTTTGAACACAGATACCTTAGCTGTCGTTTCACGGGCAGCTCCACTTCCTGTGCTAACAAGTACATCTAAAGCATAAACTTCATTGGCCTCAATAGTTGCTTTTTCGTGTTCTTTTCGATGTGATTCACTAGGATTCTGAATAATGGTTTTGGGACCATCTAATTTGAATTGCTGCAATTGATGACTAAGCATACCTTCAACTGGCTTACAATCAAATTCTTTGCAAACCTTCATTACCATATCAGTTATTTGATATGTCTATAAATAGATAAAAATATAAGATAGTTAATCTCTAATTATCTATACTGACATAAGTAGTACTATTTGTTAAATACATATTTACTAATATCTAAGATTATMCGATACTTACATCATTTCCAGGCCTCATTAGTCTTAATGCAGCTTGAGATGCATAATGAGCAGCTAAGAAACAATTGGCTTTCTTATCGGTGATTTTATTTTCAGAATTAGCTCCCACAACAACGGTATGAGCAACCATTGAAATGAAACCATCTAAATGAACTCCTAAGTCTCTAGAAATTTTACACAAATTATATAAGTAATTTGTAATGATTTATTAAATGTTAAAACATACATCTTTAAAACATCATCCTTTGCAATTGTATGATCTGGTTCACTTGTGATAGGTGAAAAATGGCAAATGCAGCCATTTGCAGATATACAAACGGGAAAAGCAATACCTAAACAAACAAGATAACATGAAACATGAAATATAGGTAATGATATATTATATTATAGGTACTTACCTTTTTTCATTTCCTTTTCTTTTTTGAATACTTTACTAGTCTCTTCTAATATTAAGTTATCACCTGAAATACATACATCACGAACYGATGCACCTTCTACACATTTCTCAATGATTTCAACAAGAACACCTGTAAAAGAAAAACATTTTTATGCTAGAGTTAATACATTATAACATAAATCTATGATAGTTTTTGCAGCTTCACCAATGTATAAGTACATCAGTAAAATCCGAGGTAAAATCATTGATAGTTTTCATAATAAGTAAAACTTTGGTCATTAATTTTGTAGTCGTTTAGAATTTCCATATATATGTGTGTTATATAGATGTGAACGCCACATGCATTACCAGTTACATACTGCTATCAAGGAGTCGATTGTTAGCGGTTTTAATTACTGAACTTTTATCGAACCATTTTAAATTTTGTTCACACCAACACTACCATTGATAGAAAATCGAATTTATAATGGTCCTAAAACCAAAAGGGTACAGCAAAGCGATAGGGGGTAGGGGACTCATCGCCACGTATCGCAGGTCATGTTCCTGCGATATATGCACGGTTATCCAAGGGACCACCATCCGTGTAAAGTTATGATGAAACCAATAGAGACTTTCATGAAAGGACCCGGCGACTACCGCACGACCACACGACCGGGTTCGCGAGAAGTTTTGTAGGTTAGGTTCAACAGCTAGAAATCGTATTAAGTACGAAGAAGTCGGAGACCGGTTTCAGGGATATGAGTAAATTACATTCAGTGGTCTGTGTTTGTAATYAATAATTTAATAGTAAATGGTTAATGGGCCAACTTACGATTAGCGATCTCCCCAGCCGTCTTGTACTTGATCACAACCGCCTCATCAGCGATTGTCGCTTCAACATCGTCGTTGTCCTTGTCCTTGTCGGCCATCGTTGTTCAAATGGACAGGAAACGTCAAAATATGAAACGCTGTGGTCGTAGATCCCTTACGGTCTCACTAATCAAAAACCGTACACCGCAAATGCACTAAGCCAGAACACACGTTTCTCACCGGAACGTCGTCGATATGATGTGTAGGGCACACGCGCGATGCACCGAACTACAGTGTGTCAGTGTATTTAGTATTATTATTGTGATTTGTGAGTCTTGTGGTAGATAAACGTAGCAAGTAGCCAGGAGTGGAAGAGAAAAATTTGCGGTAAACATTCACTAAACAACAGAACGGACCATTCTAATTCAGTGGCGACAACTTAGAAAAATAAAAATCCCACTGATTGGTGTCTGTCACAAATGGTCATCAGCAACGAGTGCGGGCCGCCGGGCCCTGGGCCACGACGATTAACWTATTTTAATATTATAAAACGTAGTCTTAATTAAGTTAATTTATAATTTATAACCGATCCGAACTTTAAAATGTGTAACAGCGTTCTTCAGTTATCTATTAATTTTACAGTTCAAATACCTAAATAATTTTGTAATTATTAAGTATGCAGATATACTGGATCATCATTTCAGTTTTTTCCCAGGAAATGAGCTTTTAAACGTACTATATTATACTTTTAAATTTCATCTGACTATTTAAAAAAAAAAATGTCATCTTAATTCTTATTTACATTATTTACTATAATTAAACATTAAGCACATTGACATTAAAGAAGTTGAAAACACATACCTTTATACTTCACTCGTCACTAGATAAGGAACTCAGATCATAAATGGATCTCGTTTCTTCATTACTTTCTTATTTGGCAATTAGTTGATTCGTTTAGTCCTTTTGATCGTATAGCAAATTATATAACTTTCAGTACTTTGATATGTTGCTTGATAAATATTAAATTTATTAAAAATTTGAATATCCTTGTAAATTATTTCAACCCAAAACGGAAGTCAATTCAATTTCAACTCAATTAATACATAAGAAACAATAATTATCTATAATAATAAAGCTATAATTTATTAAGTATAAGCATCGTAAAAACAAAGGAATTCAACAAGTAGTTCAACATTTGTTAAAATATTTTTGAAATTTCATTACCTCTAAACAAATTGAAAAACAATTAGGTCATGCTTAAAAGTTTCTAAGCTCATACGACTTATAATTTTTGAATTATATTTTTACAATAAAATAAGTTCTTTTTTTTTTAAGAGGCAATTTTTGTTTACAGAGGCCAAGACATTCATTGAGGCTCCTAAAAACACTGATAGATGGGCCTTTGGTGTGCCAGGCCGACACTGGATATGACCAGTGCACTTAGTGCACACTTTCTGTACCTACTTCGATTTTGTGTGTAACATGGGTGCATTCGTGCATTTCATAAATATGAACTTTTTTTTCGTGCAACTCTAGTGTAGTGCTCGTAGAATTTCAATGAACACTATTTTAGTGTTGTCAAATCCAAAACGCTATTAGACATATTTAAATTTAAAACAAAAAATTACAATTTTAATAATTTTGTTGAAATTCAAAATCAAAAATATTATGTATGAGGACTTGAAGCTTTTACGTGATTTATTATATTTTATAATAATATACACTATACAYCAGTGATGCCCAACCTTTTTTGTTCTAATTCTGAGTGCCACTTGGTAAGCAATTATCTTAGAGCGGGACACCAATATATGGATTTTTTTAATTATTTTATCATCATTACTATTATAAAATAAATAAATACACAGAATACAGGCTTCGAGTGGCACATGTGACCCATACAAATGGCACAAACCTGTTCATACCGTCCCACAATTAGGCAGTATTGAATCAGAACTTAATAATTATAAATATATACTAATATAATAATTAAATATAATTGGTATTGAATTCAATATTTTYAGCAAAAAATAAAACAACCTACTGCAACACACACATATATATACAGTGTGTTTCCTTTTAAAGGTAACACTAAATAATTCTGTCCAGTGACATTGGATTAATATGCGGATTTCGGGAGGGAATAGGGAATACATAAATACACATTTCTTGATGATTTTTACATTTTTAGATCTATCCGTGTGCGCATGCGCAATACAACTTGCATTTTTTAAATGGCAACAGTTGTTTTGAATACCAAATTCGGATAGACCGAATTTTTTAAGTCGATTTGGTCATTTTTACCATAGCTCTAAAATCAAAATTGACTAAATGGCAACCAGTCAAAGTTTCGATTAATATTATTGAATTTTTCACCAATCATACTAGAATTTTATGAAATTGTATTTATTATTTTTGTATCCGTAGGTTTGCAGATATTATTAAATCATTTAAATCGAAACTTTGACTGGCTGCCATTTAGTCAATTTTGATTTTAGAGCTATGGTAAAAATGACCAAATCGACTTAAAAAATTCGGTCTATCCGAATTTGGTATTCCAAATACCTGTTGCCATTTAAAAAAATGCAAGCTGTATTGCGCATGCGCACACGGATAGATCTAAAAATGTAAAAATCATCAAGAAATGTGTATTTATGTATTCCCTATCCCCTCCTGAAATCCGCATATTAATCCGATGTCACTGGACAGAATTATTTAGTGTTACCTTTAAAAGGAAACACACTGTATAATAAACATTCTAGACTGACCTTTCTTAGACCATCCACGCTCAAAATCGTTTTTTTTTTTTGTATACAATGATATATAATCATTAGTTGTATACAACTATTATGACCTTCTGTAACAATAGCTGAAAAATCGACAATAAAAAATTTGTATCTTATTACATAAACTAAATAATTTATATCAAACTGATAACTAAGAGTTTGCACATATTAAGACATTGAAAACTGCTGTTACGAGGTATAATCTCAATACAAGTTAATAGGTTAATAATAATCATTGCTAGCTGATATAAGTTAAGCAGCTAAGTCCATGACATGGTATTTGGTTGTAAAATGAGTACAAAGTTAATCGAGAAATAATTTTGACAAATTGATATAATTAACAATTAGATATAAATAATGTTTTTTATMTCATTTATTATATCATAAGTTTGTATGTGATCTTACACATGTAATAAAAATAATAAAACTACTATTTAATAGTTAATGTATTTTTTTGCAGTATGATTATTTTTCAAAAAAATACAAATATGAAAAGTATGCATACATTTAATGAGCAATATGTATAATATTACAACAGGAAATTAATTCAATTAAAGACCTTTTAAACAAAATGTTTAAAAACTAAAATGCATAAGTATTAAGTAGGTTAGTATTTCAATAGAATAACAAATCAAAAACTTTATATAACTATAATACTCTAATTATGCAGTTCTAATGTATACACATAGTCATTTTCATTGTTAAATTATTTTATCTATATTACAAATAATATATTTTTAAAAATTAGAAATAAAAGATAATAAACTCTTACTGTTGGACACTGGTACTAACTCATCCATGTAAAAGTAATATATTTTTAAAAATTAAAGAGTAATAGTCCAAATTCAATATTAAAATAATTGATACTTCAATAATTCAGTGATACAGCATTCAAAAAATAGTATTAATTAAAATATACATGTTAGGTGTATAATGATTCCATTAATATACTTTAAAATTTTACTTATTGTCATATATTAATTTAAATGTTTTATTTTCAAAATAAACAAATTATAATATTTTGAAAGAATAAATGGCAACGGATAAAAGTTGTGCATGAATGTAAGTAAATTAAAATTAGAGAAATAAAATGAAGAGTTTATAATATTTAAGTTGAGCAAAAACTTTCAGGCTACAACAAACAGATAATTATTAATTATTGACCTTTTGTAATCATAAGCTCTTACATACAGTGGACGCATACCTAAAATATTATTCTTTGAAACACAATATTTACAGTTTAATATATTGTGCATATGGTAAATATTAAAAGTAATTTTTTTACAACACATTTAGCCATGCATATTAAATCTTCGGTAAATGATAATTTAACACAAGTATTTAAACATTTATTGGATTATACATCTAACAATTTATTTTGACATTATTGCTTACTTTAAATATGCATTATTATTAATTTATATAATTTGAACATTTGTAACAAAAATATTTACAGTTATAATATTAAATTAAGAAAATATGTTATTATAATTGATTTCAAATTAAGTGTTAATTAAAATATATTTACTTAATTACTACAATGTGCCCCGAAATTGGTAACCAATGTCCACATATTTTTTTAATAATAATACCTTGTAATTAGAGTTGAACTAAGCTCAATCCCCACGTAAATTATTAAAATTAAAAAAGCCTCAACTTAAAAATTCTTGAATATCATGTTCATAATATACAATATACTAATATAACAATAATAATAATAAATATAACAATCGTTGCATATGATATTAAATAGAAAAATACATTAGTATTATAATTAAATTGAATAAAATTAATAATAATAAAAACAAAATTTAATTTGCATTTGGTAAAAAAAAAATTGGCAAGAGTTAAAATGAACTTATGTTACTGTTAAGATAAAAAATATTAAAATCATATCTCTTAACGTTCACGGGAAAATAATTCTTAGTGCAATTTGTTTTACATATTATCCAGAATTATTAAGAGATTGACTAGACATGCTCATTTTTAAAAATAACCATGATAAAAGTTCTATTGAATTTAAGTACAAAGTAAGCTAAATATATTTCATATTGAAATGTAAATAAATTACATTTTTTAAATAATTATTTTAAATAAATATCAAAATATCATTCACGTATACTCGATTGGACGGAAATTATTGACATTCTTAGAAGAAAGTCAAACAAGAACATACCTTTTATTAAAAATATTTAAATAGGTACATTTATGAAAATATTTGTTGAAAAAATAGTATATAAGATTGAGGACCAAATGATTATCATAATGGTTACACAATTAAGTTTATACATAAAAATATGTGATGTTAAATAAACTAATAAACAGTATAAAAACATTAAGTTAAATGAATTATCTGTAACTTATCTAAAAAGAAATAATTTTGTTAATAATCAAACATTTTTTTGGAACACTATTAAGTATTCTTTTTTTTTTTAGCTTTTAAAGACATTAGTCGTAAATCAGGCCGTCAAGAATTTAACTTGTTGTGTAACAATATTGTGTCTTTTTGCAATTTATATAATTCTTTTTCAATTTTTTCTGTAATTAATTTACGAGCTTCTTCCTCACTTGCATTAGATTCTTTCAACTTTGAGACTAATTCTTTTAAATCTATAGGCTCACCAAAATTAAATGTTACCTTACGGCCAGTTCGTAAATAGTATGGTGGCTCATTAGGTAATATAGTTTCCATTCCAACATGACAAATAGGTACAACAATAGGCATAACAGGTGATTCATATATCATTTGACCAACTCCCCATTTCAGACGTATATAGTTTTTATTCATATTAACACGACCCTCTGGGAAAATATGCAGCCATTTACCTTTAGACAACAGTTCTACACCAAACTTAACAGCCTCCTGTAACAAAATATATAATAATTATAAATTCAGAAAAAATGTGTTTTTATATATATATTTTTTATTATTAATCAAAGTACATCGAAAACTAGGCCATTAGTAAAAGAAATTTTTTTTTTGTTACATTTTTAGTATTTTAAGTATAAATTTTCTACAGTGAAACCTGTATATAACGAACAGTCGCGGGACCAAAATAATTGTCCGTTATAGACAGGTTTCAATGTTTTAAAAATTACAATTTGTACGTATATTTGTATTGTTTTTTATTTTATAATATGTATTAGGTATAATCTGTATTTATATGTATTATATATATTATACACATACATTATAAATTTAATTTTAATTATTATTTTTATATTACATGTAATACATACATTCAATGACACATTACATTTAAATTTATTAATTATTTCTTAAAAAATGATTCTATTGATGTTTGTTTTTTGTGCTTCGATTTGGTAATTTCCAATTTGTGATGGATAATTGAAAATGAATTATGTATATATGGATAATGTAATTAGTCGTAATCCGTGTTTTCACTTAATGTCSTAATTGCGTTTCTTATCAACGTAGTATGTATGTATTTTTGTCCGTTATGAAATTGTCGATTAAATATTAGTGTCCGTGTCCGTAATAGAAGAAGTCTGTTATAGACAGGTCGAAATACATTGAAATGCCTATCTTTTTGCCGGGACCTGGTCATTTTGTCCGTTAAAAGAGGTGTCTGTTATATACGGGTGTCCGTTAAGTCAGGTTTCACAGTACATTAAATTAAATTATTTTTATTCTATATTTTAAGTAAAGAAAGGAATGCATTTATTTAAAATTATTATTTTTTCTCATAAAAAAAATGTATTTATGAATTAAATACTGGATCTAGGATGGTAGAATAGTTGAATTTGTAAGAAAAAATAATTTATTTAATTTCTACGCTAAAAAAAAAAGGTGAAATTATTAGAGAAATGTACAGGAAATATTATAGGCCAGCAAATACCATAATTTATATTTAGTAAGTGTGGATTGAATGTAAAATAATTTTTTATTTAATTTGGTCTACTTTCCGACCTCGTTTTCGACTAAACATAAAGTGTATACTTCATTTTGTATATTTTTTTTTTAAATTTTTAATTGAATTTTTTATTTGATAAGTGATGATGTAATGTACGTACATAAAATATGTCATTACAAAATGAAGTTACCTACTAAAAATACAATCAAAATCATGACTACTTATGAGAAATTTAATACTGCAATTAAAAAAAAATTACATATATATATATTTTTAATATGAATAAATTATAATTGTATAATAAAACTAACATTTGCTTTAAACTTATTTTGTTAGATAATATTAATAACAATTTAATAATTTAATAAAATTAAAAATTAATAAAAATCAGACTATAAGCAAATTATATMTAATTAAATAACTGTAAAAAATCAATCAGCTATAGTTAATATATATGACCTTTAATGACATACTTAATAAATCAATAACACACTTTTAAAAATTGTACCTATTAATTTAAACACACATTTGAATAATAAAATAATCCATCAAAAATGCATTGTTAAAAATCATAGGTAATTTATGTACATACTAAAAATTAATATCTAATTGAAAATAAGTTATAATAAAAGAGACCTAAAGGATAAAACCCATCTAAACTGTTGAGCATAAGTATTTAGATAATAAAAATGATTGCAAATGATAACATTAAATAATAATTTATTAGAATATTTTAGAGTAGAAACATGAAATGTCTAATAATTTATAATTTCTATTTCTATATAGTTAAACAATGAAATTTAATGTCTTTGAAATTTTGTGTTGATTTGTGCTACCTAATTGTGCAAAATTTAAAAATATTTTGTATTTATATTCAATAGGTTAGGTTAGGTTGACATTTGAATGATAAAAATTCAAAATATTAATTTGTTATAAAAGAAATGTAATTTACTTGATATACTCCAGCACCTCGAATGGTCGGCACACACTGACCAAGCATAAAAAAATGTGCACAGAATGGGTTTGTAAAGCATATGTCATTGGCAGCCAATGCCCAGCGCATTTTATTTGACATTATTAAATTTTTCCAACCAAGTGCAGCTAAAACAACCCAAAACATTTAGAATAGATAAAAAAAGTTTGGAAGAATATGTATAACTTTCATACCCCAAATGCCAGGGTCATCAAAACACGAATCATGATTGGATACTGTAATGASAGGTATGTGGTTGGGTCGATTGATTGCTTTGTCAAATGAGACGAGATTGTACACTTTTGCTTTGTTGAACCATTCTACAAAACACAGATATGTAACACTAGAGGAACTCTTTACAATTCACATGTAATGATGTGGATACTTACTGATGAAAATCTTGCTGAATATACCGACGGCAGCTAATGTGATGCAAGACGCGACGTTCCAAAATATTTGTCGGTTCCTGAGTTTGGGCAAGACCCAATCAATGTTGTACTCTTTCTTCATGGACATGGTTAATTATGTCGTTTTACATCAGATTTGTATTTTTTTCATTAATATCGGTTTGCACGACCTTCTTTTGATCGCGTGTTACTAGCAGCGTGCACGTCCTAAGAGGGCACGACTCATCGATTCGTCGTCGCGTAGGTACATGTATTACAATTCACAAAAATCAAACAAAGCCAACATAGGTATAACAATAGGTTAAATATGTGAATAATAAATGAGAACGAAAACGGCGGTTATACTGGTTATACGCAAGACGGAATAGGAAAATTAATAATATATTTTAGGGAACGACGACGAACAAAGAGGCACACCGAACGCGGCGACTACCGAGACCACACTGGGCACACTGCAGCGGTGAGCTGAACATAGATATATTGGCAATATAAAATATTCATTATTATTATTATTTTTTTTTATTATCGTTCAACACGGCGTCTCCACGACGGCACTACGGCAGCAGTCGTTATCTCACGGTCGTCGCGGGTTCCCTGTGTTTGGTCACGACTGTAGATAACGGACACGTCGGGTAAGCGCACGCAAGTGTTCCCCACCACCGATGCGCCAATATTATTACCATGGTACCATGGCCATGCGGACGACCGTAAAAATACTTACGAAAAAATTACGAAGCAGTAACAAGTATAACTGCCGACCCTGAACCCTGGACGACCCTGGTTAAGTGCAGGTAACAGGTTGACTGTATAGTGGTTGCGACTGGACAGGTTACTTCCCCATTATTGTACTTGAAAGAGGCACGTTGACCCGGATGGATACACTTTATACCTAATGCTGTACAAGTAGCTTATAAAAGTAATAAGATGGTATCAATTAGATATGCCTAACTGTTTTATGATAAATATTACTCAAGATGATGTCAGTAGTCTGCACTAGTCAGTACTATATTTGTTTTCTCTCACAAATCGAGTTTTATGTATTTTGAGTAACCTTAGAGTAAAATAAAACAAAAATTATAAAGGTTTATATTTTTGAAGAAAATTTCGTTTTATATTTTATTATTATTTAACTGAGTATTAAACTTTCAAAAAAAAAATTTTAATTTAAATGTTTAATAATTAATCTGTTTCGAGAACAATATATTTAAGTAAATCGATAAGTTATTTCTTCTAAAATGTTATTCTCTTTAACGATTTTGCAATGTGTGATTTTACTTTTACTCTAAAGTTATTCAAAAACACAAAAAAAATATATTATTCTACTATTAATACACTTTGTATATTTTACGCACGGGCCTGAGAGAAAAAACAATAAACAGTACACTGACATTATCTTCATAAATATACTGCATGATACGAAATTTGTCTTACTTTTTACTTATTTAGTTATTTTATGTTTGTTTCAAATTTGAATATGTATATAATTTGAGATGTCATATAGCCGCATAAGCCTAAACTAATAGTTCCTAATATATTTTAATAATACCATTGATTTTATAATATATTATAAAATCAATGATAATACTAATGAATGTTTGTGAATTTTTAATCTCAGTTATTTACAATATTTAAAATTTATTTGTTTAAAAAATCCTATCAGTTTACAATTAATAATATATCAAATTAAGATTTGAGAAATAAGAATATTCAAATATAAAACATTGAAGGATACCATTCGATCATAAGCAGAACTGACGGTGAGCCCCCCTCCCTCCACCTCTAAATAAAACTATTCATAATCTCATAATAGATAAATTTATCTTCAAAGTATAATAATATCAATTAAAAATGAATAAATAATAAAGCTTTTATCATGTTCCTCAGTAAAATGTTGCAGGTCACACCTGCATATTATTAAACGCCAATTCCAATGTATGATCGGAAAAGAGGAATAGATCTAACGATCTAAGCACATTTCTACGTTTTTCTAAAAAATAACCAGATTTTCACGGGGAATATTTATTGCCTATTATTATTTAAAAATAATAAATAAAAAAAATGATCATATTTATTTCATGATAAATTGATAACTAATAAAAGCGTCATAACTCATAAAATATAACACATTTTGTAATTTTTACTTGTTTAAAAAAGCGTTTAGCAAAGTGTATTTATATACTTTATTGTCAATTTGTGTATTAGATCAGGGTGGTATACTACAGTACAGATAACTTTAGTAACATATTCGGTTCATATTTAATTATGTTATAAGTACGAGTATATTGTGTGCCTACTGGCTAGTACATATGTATTATATAGGTACATATATCTTTCTTAATAATTTGGTAAATGATAATACATCTGACTTTAAATTTATTAATTATAGACTTGAACACTTTCATTAATTATCAATATATCATAAAATAAAAATAATCATCGTGAATGGTGGTAAAAATAGGTGATGAATATTTTCCTTGAACATTACAGGGAGGGAAAATCCATTGAATTATATTTTTTTTTAATGCATAGAGGTTAAGTTAGGTTAGATTAGATTAGATACTATTTGTATAGAGGGCTTTAGCCAAAAATAAAAGTAGGTACTGTAGAAATTAAATGAAACTAGCCAGAGGAAAGATGTTTTGATTTATATGAATACAAAAAAGACCACAATCGTGATGATACGTCACTAGATTCACTGCAGATAATAGGTACACTTGAAGATGTAATGGTCGTAGGTAACAATCAATTATAAATTTGAATTCATCAAAATACCTTGTACAGTTGTATCATAAAATTACACGGAAAATATTGTATCGGAGGCATACTTATATTTATAAAAATAATATACATTTTATTTATGTATACATTATAATATGTATAATTGTAATAATAATCGTAATATAGAGGCCGGAAAAAGGTATAAAACGGTTGACTCGTCTGGTATGTATCGTTTAGAATATTTTTCTTGTAAAGCGCAAAGAGATAGATTTTATTATTTAAATAAAGGAATATTTGAAGAAATAAAAGCCTAGCATATATATTCATTAAAGTTATCCACGTTCATATTAGAAATGAAAGTTGGTTTTAAATTTTTTAAATTTGAATCTTTGAGTTTTAAATTGTTTTTGTGTTTATATCATGTGATAAATATTGGTCTACCAAAAACTTTGTATCAGTGCCGTACCCACTACCCAGGATTTGTTTTCAGGAGGGGGATTAAACATTCATTTTTAACTTTATAGTAAAATACTTAAGAAATAATTTTAAAACATATTATATATACTCATACTATTTAATATATAAATATATTATTGTTAAATGTTAGTGATTTTAAATTGTAGCTCATCCGTCAATATTACTACTATACATGATATCGATATGAACCCATCATTATTCATTACGCATTACTAAAAAAAATATTTCACCTGTGATTTCAGGGGGGGGGGGCTTAAGCCCAAAAGCCAACCCACTCGATACGGCACTGCTCTGTAATCGCGTTAACTGGAATTTAACAAATATTACAATACAACTGCGTACTACTCGACACAATTTTAAACGTAAAATGCACGACACGGACTGAAACCGAATACCGAACTATGACCGTCGAACACTTGAACTCTATTATATAAACAACAAATGTATGTATACTAATATAATATATATATATATATATGTTGGCATGTTGCATATAAGTTATAACTTATATAAGTATGACATCAAATTTGGAAATAAAGACCGGTCATAAATTTATCGATTTGTGGCTGTGAACGTGAAAACACGACAAAAAAAAACAAATATTTGTACTATAAAAATAATAATACGTAGGTATTATAAAACTACGAATGTGCGTTAAATATGCAGTGTTTAATCGGTGAAAACGTTGAAATATGTAAAATAAAATTAGTGTTATTTTAATAAGAATGATCTAAATCTGAAACAATTCTCGTCAGCTTTTAAAAAGCTTATTCTGATACATATTATTGTATGCATTTGAATATAAATCCAGTCCCTATTTATATATATATAAAGGGTTATAGTGCAATCTAGGTAATAGGTGTAACTATTAATATTATAAATATAATATAATCGTAACCTATTTTAGTATTTAATCCAACGATTTTTAGCTAGGTACACCTTTGTATATTTAATCAATGGTTAAACACAAAAAAAACATGTTTTCTAAAACTGGTTTTACACACATCATTGCTTCACTCAAAACCTAAAATAAATAAATGTGCAATGTTCATTTGGTTTTCTATAAACAAAAGAATTATTTATTTTTATTAATTTTTCTAAAACATAATCCCGTATTATAAGTTTTTAGGAATTTCTAACAAATAATTAGGTAGTCTCAGTAATGAACCATCAACTTTTATAAAGTGTCTCTGCTGGCTTTTTTATACTGATCTATATCAAATTATCAAGTCTAACATTCAAACCTATACCAATAAAAAATGCTAATATATACATTATATATTATTATATTAATACATAAGCTGACTTCACATATTAAAATAACTGTGGCATTGTGTAATCAATTACGCCAATCCTTTTTTGTTTTTGAAATTACTAAAGTGTTTAAGATTTTAATGATTTATTAGTACGTATACCGTACCTACTAAGTTTACTATTTTTTTGTACGTACATGAATTACTACAATTTTATAAAGCTTTCAAATGCATAATAACAATATTCTCTTCTATCCTATGCGTGTTGATTGATGTGAGACATTATAATGCCCAATAATTTATTTTTAAATGTCTAAATCCCATTCAGTCGTTATCCTTTTATTTTGACAAGTAACAATTATGTTAGATTCAATGACGTACGACCTACTTATATAAATTATAATTTATACTTTGTTAACATCATCAATATAATTCCTATCACTATAGAGCAGTTTTTAACATGTTCGTGACGAATAATAATATACAAATGTTTTGGTGGGACTAAAATAGTATAATCCAGATTATAATTAAATGGATTAATCTCATCTATCTTAAGCCATTTTCTAAATCAGTAATTACTCATTAAATATTACAAATACATAATTTTATGTGACCTTAAACATTAAACATCATAATATTTACGTGAATATATTGTTGCACTTCACGCACCAGCGAATTTCTAATACTACAACTGATTATATAGGACGCAACAGATTATTATTCCCTTCTATATTTTCTAAATACCTATCTCTCTACTCAATACATATTTAAAAGTACAGCTATTTTAGAATGATGTTTCAGTTGTTGTTAGACGTCCATAACCACTGGTCGACGTGGTAGTGTAGTCTTAATAAATAATAATAAATAAAAATATATAAATKTTTAAACCAAAATGGAAAAGTGGAATGGAAAAGTTGCTGTAGTAACAGGTGCTTCTTCTGGAATCGGAGAGGAGACTTGTAGACAACTGGTTAAAAATGGAATGATTGTTGTTGGTTTTGCTAGAAGAGAAGATAAACTTCAGGTTAGTGGCTAATCAAATTATTGTGTTAGGTTTTTAGCSTACATTTTATAACTGTTACTAATAATAATAATTTGTATTTATGAATCAATTTCATTTTACATCAGAGTATAAAAATAAACTTTACTGTGTGGCTTGGTGAGGCGCGGTCGTACGCCCAATCTACGGAAATGCACTGAGTGTACGAACCGGCTGCAGTTGCTATCTCCCGGATGGGTGACCACCCGTGATTTTTCCACACATACGGACACATTTGGATCCTTGCCACACATACACAAACACGTGTTATAACCCTACCCACTTAAAAAACCTACAAACTCAATACACAAAAATAACCCCTACGGCCCTACCGTACCATCCCACACCCAATGGCCTATGTATAGCACTATAGCTAATGGCCTTAATCACCGGACTTTAGATCAATAAAAAAAAAAAAAAAAACTTTACTGTAAAAAGCAATGTTTTGCAACCTATTTGAAATGGCACTTACTATTAGACTGCTGCACTTTCTTGTGACCTATAAAATTAATTCAACTGTGCCTACTGTTTTACTTGTTTAACTATGGTTCTAGTATAATAATATTATAATTGTATAAACTTTTGTTGCTCACAGGGGCGAACGCAGGGGGAGGGGGGGTTAGGGGTTTAAACACCCCCCGAAATAGTAGGTACAAAAAATAAATTATCTGACCTACAAATGTATTAGTATATTACTAATAACATTTCAAAAAAATTAAAATAAATTATTATTGTTATTAAAAAGTTTCTCTTCTCCCGTGGTTTGTAAATTAATGAATACAGTAAAATCACCAATAAAATGTATAATAATGCAGTTTCGAAGTGAGTATGACAGTATGTTATAACTTATTAATAACTGATCGACATCGAAGGCCGCAAATCCGATGATGTACGTAATGTAGACAGACAACGAGTGTAATTGCCGTCTACCGGAAATTCCTACAACTAACCTACACTAACCTACAAATTGTAATAATTAGTTATTAATTATTATCTATGATATTATATTATTATGTAATATGTATA